GCCGTGGGGCTGTGAGGCTGTGGGGCCGCGGGGCCGCGGGGCTGTGGGGCTGTGAGGCTGTGGGGCTGCGGGGCTGCAGGGAAGGAAGCAGGGCGGGCCGCAGCTTCCAGCCAGCCGCGGTGCTCTGCAGGAAAATCCGTGCTCCCCAGCACTGGCTGTCTTGCCAAAGCAAAACTGCTGCACAGGTGATAGAAGCCTCTCTGTGCCACCTGCTGAGACAAGGGAGAGCCTTTCCAGCCTCACAGTGTAAGTAAGAGAAGCACATAACCATTTAAGTTGTTAAGTGCTGAAAGTGTTCAGGGAAAAATGCTTGAAAGGCAGGTACCAGTGCTGGATGTAAGGAGGCAAGTTCAACACCATTGTCATGATCCTGAGGAGACTCTTGTGGGGTCTGGGGAGGCGGACGAGAGCAGGTCTCCAGCTGGGCAGACAGCACTGCTTGGTCCTGCCTTGCGAGGGTTACACTGAGCAGAGACTGCACCAAGCACCCGAGTGGGACACGGTGACTCAGAAGAGATGTCACACAAGGCAGTGTGTTGGGGCACTGGGGGTGTCCCCAGACAGGGGATGTTATGGGTGCTAAATGTGAGCAGAAAGCAGGGAGCACAGTGCCTGTGGAATAGCAGGCCGCATAACTTTCTCAGTCTCTCCCGAGAAAGTGGTCTGGGAAATCATAAGGCGGAATTAAAACAATCCTCAGAGATAGAAGACAGCCTTGCAAGTGTTGTCAGTTTCTTGTTTTCTTGCAAGAGAAGGTCAAGGGGTGGTGTACCCCACTGACCAATGAAGGTAATGTGTTAATTTACTAACCAGTAAGAGTTTTACCTTTCTGTACTTTCGCGTATCGGTCTATAAAGATCTGAGGTAATAAACCACGCTCTCCTCAATTCACAATCTCCTCTCTCAATTCACAAGAGGGTCTGTCGTGCTTCTTAGCCGTTCCTAATCTAGAGTGACAGGAATGTGTTGTGGCTCCCCTGTATCTCTCAGCTCTTGGTACTCTGGTGTGCACAGCTGGTTCAGGCTCACCTGGCCCTGATGCCTCCCCCAGTGGGCTCTTGTTGATTGCAGGGTACCACACTTGCTGTGCACAAAGTGGAGAGGGAGGCTTTGGAAACATGATAGGCAGGTGACATCTTTTCTGTGGTCTCGTATTTTTGCTTTTCCCTTTGTAGTAGAATATGGTTTTATTCTCCCCTGCCATCACATACAGTTAATTCTACTCTTTGTGTCCATAATCACTCTTCCTTCTATAAACACAGGAACTTGGCAGCAGTTCTTGGAGACAAGAACAGAAGTTGCTGATACGGGAAGGATAATGCCAACAATGAGGCATTATTTTCAAGAAATGACAACAATCATAGTGTGAGTGTCCAGGCTGAACACCAGACCAGACACTTCAGCTATTACCCAGTTCTTAGCTTCAGCATGTCTCTCCATAAGAAGTCAGATAAGGTAAAGGGAGTCGTGTAAGTTGCATTTTATTAGACAGAGGTGGATTTGATACATGTTATATCTTAATTTTCCATTGTTCTTATTTAGACATGTGGAGTGTACAGATTTCCCATTTTTTAGTCAAGAAAGAAAAACACATTGCACAAAGCAGCTGCATTCAACAATACAACAAGATACGGATCATTATTCACTTGAAGACTAGAAACGTACCCAGAAAATTTTCAATCGTTCAGTATGCTAAAATATAGATAAAAAGAGTTAATTACTGTTTAATGGTAAAATACATTAAAAAAATTCAGGCAAATCTAGAATGAAAACTTGTGACTTTCTTCAGTATGGCACCACTCTATTGTTTCATTATAAATTTGTAAAAGGCACCACACATTAAAACTGTAAAGCAAGGGAGAAAACAAAACCAAGCAACTTTCCATGATTTTCTTTCTGTACAAATACATATGTATTTTAAGGCAGGTGTTTTTATGTGCAAAATACAAGTATACAGGTAAAACCAATGTTGGTATCATATATTCTCATACTCACTTCTTTTAGCTGTACGATTAGTGTACAAATGTACAGTACAATGAAAACACTTTTCTCTAACAGAGCTCAAAATAGAAGGCAGGCTGGAAATATGGCCCTGATAACAATTAGGTTTTAAATCCAAAGAGCTTTTATTTAGACCCCTTAAAACATGTACAAACAGTCATTCTCTTTTTCTTTTTGTCTCTTCCTTAAGAAAGGTCCATATCAACTTGTTCACTATGTCAGGTTGATCCTGCTGGAGCCAATGACTGGCTTCTGACAAAATAGTTAATCTGAAATGATTTTTAACATAAATCCTTGTAATTTCTGCCATCTCAACTTCCATAAACGCATCTCTTTCTCCCCATAACAGCAGGGTTGGCATGATGACTTCATGGTGCTGCAGAGGAAGGCAGCTTTAAAAATAAACCACATTTAGTTAGGTCTCATTTTAATAAAAAACCACCAAGACATATTCCATTCAACACAGCCTTTGCAATCAATGAAGTGAATCTCATTGTAAACTTTCTAGGTTCCATGATGTCTTGTACAATACCAAAAAAACACTGTGACTCCAAGTTCTGTCAAAATGACCTCTTTAAACTTTCAGTAATTTTTAATATTTTTTTCTTAGTACAGTTATTTAAAATGAATATTTTATAAATATGACCTCATATTAGAGACATTATGAAAGATGCAAGTAGCTAGAATGAAAGACCCATCAGAATTCCAGCACATTTCAACAATGCTAAAAAATTTGTTTGAATTGCCTACTTTTAGCCACATACAGTGACAGACTAGCTGTGACAACTCAAAACAGATTCCATCTGATCAGATACAAATCTTCATTGTATTAATGCAAAAATAGGACTTTTTAAAACCAGTAATAGATAAAAACGATTTCCTAAATAAACTTTTATGACATATGTAAGTACTAGTTATAAACTTAGGAGTTAGTTAGGAAAGAAAGACAAAGAAGGTGACATGTCTTAGTTTAAAGTAAGACAAATAAATTGAGACTTTGAAGACATTCTTCCTCTCTGCTTAAATGTAAAGACAAGAAATGTTAATAAAAGATCACTTCAGATAATAATTTCATTTTGATTGATGAATTACAAAAATTCTTAACAGGGCCTTTTTAACCAGTGCATTTAAATCTCGTTTTGCAAACAGCCTGACCTGACCCACTGAACCACAGCTTATTCATAGTACCAATTTTAAAAATTGACAATCTGATGATGATTCAGTGCATTTACACTAACCTCTTTACCTTTTAATCCAGTATCCTGGATCTCTTCACTATTAACATGTGTGTTTTTTCACTTCTGTAGAGTTTATTGTTTTGTGCCTTGCAAGATTTGTCGCCTCACTTAGGTAAACTCTATCAGGCTTTATACAGGCTTTTTTTTTTTTTACAGACTTTTTCAGCCACTTTTCATTGCCTATATTTCTGTTCAGTCTGGAATATGGGAAATTATAATTATGCCTGAAGTTTCTAGAAATCTTCTTTAATAACTATTAATGCACAGATTTCACATTTAGAAAGTTCCATTCATTAAATATTAAGGTCTTTGAAAAACAGACTTCATACAGGATTGTTACACAGCTTTTCTGTAAACAGTGCAGCACTTTTTAACTGTTCTAAGAGAACTAATCCCATTTGCTAAACAAAAGGTGTAACAGAAAAAATTCAGGTTCCAGCTTCTTACCTATCTCTTCTTAATCAAACACGATAGAAAAAGTTTATAGATTTATTCTCAGAGTGTTTGTATTTAATATATAGTGAAGGGAATGACCACAGTGCTATTTATAAAAAGATGTGTTGGTGATGGATGGAAGTAGGTTATTTCAATCACCTCTTTAGAAATAACATTCCAGAAAAATCAGGCTCTGAAAAATGAAACTCCAAGTGGATAGTAATGGGTTGGAAACCTTTAACACGTAGGTCACCAGTATCAGCCCACTGGGAGTTATGATGAATACAAGTGATTAGTATCCAAGTGCTGCTTAATGACTTAGATGAGAGAAAGGGAAAATTCCAACCCAGTTTTCATATTCAGCGATTCCCAGCCCCAAAGGCATGACCATCAGAACTGATGGCAAGAACTGAATGACTGATCTTTTTGTTCCAGTCCAAAGGCTGCTGCATTGTGGCTGATAGCACCTAAATAAGATTCTCTGAATTCAGTGCAGGTGTACTTTCATCAGAAGAATAAAGCACACAATGCACAAAGATACAAAACACACAGAGGAATTAACAGCTGTGAATATAGTTTCTGACTTAAAACTGATACTACACTTTCTTTTTGAGTCTGAAAAGGCCTGAAACAGTAGTTTAAGCACTCACAACTCTTCCATTTGTCCCGTGTGACTCCCAGAGCAATTGAGCTCTCACAGGCACATCGCTGCTGCTGTCAGAGGAGCATCTGGTTAATGTGCACACGCAGTGGAGCGAGGTGCTGTGGCCGATGGAACGAGCAGCGCTCGGGGCGCTCAGGCCTCTGAGCTGCTCATCAGCCCTGCCCGGGGCTCCTGCAGAGCAGCTGCAGGGCTGGGGAGCCACTGGGCAGCCAGGCAGCCCCGAGGCCCTTGGACATCCCAGCTGGTGTCATCGGCTGCTCCCTGCACAGCTTTAAATAAGCGTCCTGTTACCAGCACAGCCGCCTCATTTATTCCCCATGGTCAGCCATGCTTGGGCTTAGCTTTCTGCTTTCCTGTTCCAGTTTTGTCTCAGCCTGTACAAGACAGCACCCAGCTCAGATCCCTGTTTTCCTCACAGCATTTTCCCTTCTGATTGCTCTCCTGATGGTGACAGCATGGATGGCACAGAAAGAGTAATAAAAGTGGCGGTAAATTTGGACCACGGAAAACGAAAAATTAATCTACTTCAAATATCTACTGCCCGAGTTTAGGGAAAGAAGAAAATTGCCATTTTAAAGGATATTGGGAAGCTGGTCTTTTGTTAGAGAAGCATGCAGGACATTTATCAGTGCTGAAGACAGTAAAGGAAAAATAAATTCAGTGCCACTCTTGATACAATCCTTCAAGTAAGTGCTATAAGTAGAATATATGCAGAGTTAAGACCTTCTTGCCCTGGTTTTGGTAGATAAAAAGGGGGTATCAGTCTCTAAGGCCAAGCCATCTCCTTTCAGAAAAGTTAAAACCATCAGAAAACTGCCACCTTTCTGAAAAACAGAAATAGCCCAAACACAATTTGCCAGATACAGTTTTGTAAAGTTACCAGTGAGGGTAACATTCTTGGATGCCATGTCATCTAGTAGTATTATATAATAATAATATCTCAATAGATATTATTATAATATGAATTGTACTGCAAACAAGTAATTGATATTAATTTTTAAAATATTATTTGGAGGTGGATTTTTGGGATTGCCATGGGGGCTGTGAATAAGGAAGGGTCTTTGCTTTACTAGATTTTGAAACAGAGATTTTCCTTACGTGCACTCTGCTTGTTTTGCTGTTTTGTGTGGACATCTCACAGAACACACCTGGGGATTTTCCCCTGGTTCAGCAGCAGGAGAGGAGCCGCAGTAACACTTCTGGGCTCCAGGGGACTCCCTAGAATATTTTTTTTTTGTTTGGGAATATTATACTGACCTGAAAATAGTTCTGTAATGGTTCATAGGTCCTGTTAATGCTCCAGGTTGTGAAAAGACATAGAGATAAGCTTCAATATCTTCTGCAGTTAATCGGCAGCCTTTCCTTCCAATTCCAGTGGCCTGGCTGGTAAATAAACTTTTCAGAACCTACAAAAGCAAGAAGAAAAAGCTATTATGTAAGACAGCTGGAAAATGTGATTTCCATCCTTCAACAGGACACATCTTTCTAAAATCTATTTATGCATATTTATAAGTCTATTTATGTTCAAAGTACAATGAATGGTTCAAATGAGTTTTTAGAGAGCTGTGTGTGAAGCACAAGGTCAACATCTCTAGCATAACTTATTCCAGAACAATCAAGTACAGAGAAATACTGGTGTTACCAAGTTTCTGCGTCCTGACCTGCGACAGTCAAGGCAAGTGCAGGCACATGGGTTTTTTTGGGATGGACCCCAGCAGGGAGGATGATTCATGCTGGCTGTGCCCTGTGTGTGCAGCATGGGGAGCTCTGCACGGGGCTGTTGGTGTGTAGGAGGAGCTGCATCCTGCAGCTGTGCTGTCCCTTTCTATCTGCTCCTACTTTTATTTGAGGTTATACAAAGTGCTGGCTTTGGGTTCTCAGGCAGAATTAATCACCTGCTGAATTCAATGCCCAGACTCCCACACTGCCTGCCCTGCAGCAGGCTCTGAGAGACAAGAGGATGTCCCACTGCACACAGGGACTTCAGACAAGTCAGCAGGAATTCCCAGGCACCAATGGTGTCCCACTGCTATGGGCATGAGTAAAAGCAGCCGGCTCTCCAGGTGGAGTAATGCACTGCAGTGCTGGAGGTTAAAAGTACAACCCTCAGCACCTCCCAGAAATGCAGAAGTAACAGTTAATCTCAGAGACTGTACATACTTGTATGCTAATTTATATAAAGCTTAAGAAGAAAAATCAGAAAACTCCATATTTTTTCCAGTAATTATAACTACATAAGAAGGGATCAATGTAGGTGGGAATTCTTCCATTACTCACAGTTAGACATAAACAAGAGCATTCATTTTGCTCACCTTGAAATCATCTAGTGTAAACATGAATTCAGGAAACCATGGCATTTGGAAAAAGAAGTAGTAACCAGATTTAATCAATTGTGATGGATGTCGTAGAATGTATTCTGAAACAAAAATGTCCGTGAATTAAAAATGAAAACTGATGGCTCAAACAAAATTATTATTAATATTACTATTTTTTAAACTTAAAGGAATGTTTTAAAAAGATTACATTAAAGTATGCTGTGTGAGAAAAGATGATTATTGTTTCAGGAGTAAATATATGATGTGGTGGCCATTAAAAGATACTTCTTTTATAAATGTTAGTAGAAACAGCCAGCAAAACAAAAATTTGCCAAAGATTAGGTGAGAACAGCAACACAGGAGAGTTTAATTGCGTGGTAGGTTTTCACTTAGAGATCTCTTTGTGTAGCTAGTCCAAGGCATTTTTTCCCAGATATGGAATAAAAGGCATAAATAGGTATTTATCTCATCAATGATGTGATGCACAAAAATCTGTGGATGTTAATCCACTGACATTCTAAAGATTGCACCACTCCTGTTCATAGATGTATAGAATTTTTCTAACAGTGTCCTTTTGGCAATTTAAAGAACTGTAATCAAAGTTAAATCAATTCACTTTTTTAAGATTTTTGGGGTCATTTTTAAAGACATAGGAGCATACATAGCAAAAGAATATATATATATATATATATATATATATATAAAACAAACCTGCATTGACTGTTGTTGGGGTTTTTTTTTTAATCATAAATCTGTATTTCTAGTGAGTTTCAAGACCCAACACTGACATTCAAATACCTATCTTCCTCAAAGCATGCACATAATGTGTGCAGGCTAGGAAGTCTAGAACTTTTCCTTTACAGGTGCAAATTCAGGAGTGTAAAAACTGCATTCCCAACACAGGATGTATCTCTGAAATACTAATTCTGACAGTGAATAAAAATGGGTTTTAAGCCAACATAGACTGAAGTTTTAGCTATCTTCTAAACTTTCATATCTTATACATTGAATTGCATTACCCATTGTATTTTTCCTGATGGACCATTGTCAGCACTAATCACTTTTCTGTACTATTTATAAACTGCTTATTTTCTTTTAACCCACAGTAGTGTAAGTTTGATGTAGGGAGAAGCTACACCAAGCTACAGAACAGATTTTGTATCTGTATTTGTATTTGTAGTTCAACAAATATGCAAACAAATACTATAATAAAAAGCAATTGTCTTCTCTACAGCCTCGCTCCTGCTCTCAGTGAGAACACTGCAAAAAGCTCCTGCTTGCTTGTGTGGTGAACAGACCTTTCCATAGGTAAGTGTGGATTAACCACCTGGCAAAATGTTCTTTAGTATCTTAGAAAGGTACCCAAGAGCACTGTGAGAACAACAAATGTGGGTGGTGTGGCTGATCCACAGTGTAAGGTCAATTTTACATTCAATTGAAATGAAAATTAAAGCTGTGCTGAATATTCTTAGCTATTTATGGGGAAATGGGGTAACTTTTTAAATGGGGATAGGGTAAGGCCAGCAACTGAAAAAATTAAAATTAATGAGGTAGGTCTTTCCTTTTCATTATTGAATGTTGATATAATTACTATGAAAACTTTTGTAATTCTGGGTAGTAGACAAACACAACTCTATCACACAACAAATAGTGAAACAAGTCCTGTTTCAGCAAAGTACTGGTATATTCCTGAGTTTCTAGTATGTAGCCTGCAAAGACTTCTTCCAATGAATATTGTACCTGACCATAAATTGCCACTTGTCACCTAAACAGGGATGTAATTCTAATGTCTGATTCACATTCATACAAAGGCAGGCTCATGCAGATTATATAATACAGTGTGGCCTTTACCAAAATGTAATATAATATACATCTCTTTTTATGAATTTTTTCCTGATAAAGTGGAAGATTTTTTCATACACAGATTCATGTGTATGAAAATTATGTTTGTGGACCCTCAAGGATAAAAAAAATCTGTAACTTTTGTTGCAAGCATTCTCACTTCCTACAATAAATTTATTTCCAGAAGTCAAATACTCAATATCTTACTGCTTCATAAAATACAGTCCAGACTGTGAGAGCCATAGAGTACTGGCAGCTCATCTACTGAGGGAGGCTGTTGGTTCTCAAAGCAAACACAATCATGACCAAAATGCAGATACTTTGAATTAACAAAGACTACTGTAAAACTTACCTGTAAATACAGAAGGATGAGGGAAATTAACCACAATCAGCTTAGTCACCATTTCAGGGTAACATATGGCCACTAACCAAGCGATCATTCCTCCCCAGTCATGGCCAATCAACACACACTTGTTGTATCCTACCACATGAACACAGATAGATGATTTTATTTCAAAGAAATTAGTATCCACAGAAATTATCACATAACAGAAAATCATTACTGGGCTAAATAGGTGGTTCAGCACATTTATTAATGTAACTTTAATACCGCACCACTTCCATTACTAACGGTCAGAAAAAACGGGACATTGCTATAGTTAAAAAATTTACAAACACTTCCAGTATTTAACTGGACTTCATTAAACCTTAACTTTACCACCTCCATGTCACACTGTAGTCAGTATGCAGATGGATGCTCTGTTCACATCTCGGCCAATGCAGGGTCAGATGGACAGTTCAGCCTGCAGTCATTATAACACACCTAACATGGGAGTTTGGAGTTTGAAACTGCAGACAAGAAGACTGAGCAGTCTCCTGAGCACCTCCAGAACAAAATTAATCCTAATGGATTTCTCTGAATATGAGGGGTTATCTAAGCACTCAGTGCCATCCTTTTGCAAAAAGTGGACATCATACTTAATAGCCATATATATATAGCAGATGTAAGGACTCCCATTTATGTACTTAGGAGGCCCATAGCTTGCCTCCATAAGCTGTTTTGTTGGCAAATTTCAAAGTTCTGGACATTCACATACTTATTCTTTCATCAATGAAAATTGTATTTTGGCAGAAATAGGAGGAACATGGGCAGGACAGTGACCAAGTTTTTTGGAAGCTTAACCCTCCTTTAACCACTGCTGGAAAACAACAAACTATGGTGTCAGATACCATCACCCTCCTCATTGAGGACTGGAATGTTGAGCACACAGACTACAAATGAAACATATAAAAGCCAAGAAATTTAGATTTCTGACATAAATTTGAACACAGTTGTCAAAGAACCATATAAACCTTCTTGGATAAAAATCTTTTGAGCACTTTTGATATAATCAAGTCCTTCAAAAGAATTTAGCTTGGGATTAGGACAAACAAAGATAACAAGGCTCTGAAGTGCTTTCTCAAAAAAAAATTTAAATCCCTCTGAAATTGAATTATGCTGAGAGCACTTCTCAAGCATAACCATGGCATTACCATGGAGATTAACACAACCAGCAAAGACTGGAAAATTTCAACACTGTGTGAGGACTGCCTCTGCCCAATCTTTTGCCAATACTCAAACATCACAAGCAAAGCAAATCATAAATTCACATCTCAGAATCTGCATCACTGCTTTATTATTTCTTCATATGAAATACAGTAAGTTATTTTACTGTTGTTAGGGTATCCAGGGAATTAAAATGATTCAGAGAATTCAGAAATAAGCTAATCCCTTCCGTTGCTCTTGGTATGGAATGAAAATGCCCTTCACCAGGGGTTACAATTTATCACCCAAACAGAGACTCTTCAAACTGAACTGAAGGGGCGAATTTTGCACTTCAGCTCTTTACACTGTGTATTTGCCACAGAGAGCAGCATGTCCCTCGTTCTCCCTTCTGCTCTCACTGTTGTGCAAGACAGAGTGATTCAGCTCTTGAGAACTGACTGTTGTGCAGGAGTAGTATTTTTGGAGGGCTCATTTATTTTTTTTTTCAACACAGCAGATGTACTTTCATCATCTCTGTAAAGCCCACAATATTTTTTATGCTTTGTTTGTGCACGAAGAATGTCATCTGATATAAATTTCTTGGTCTGCAAGTGCTTTAAGACTCTAACTCAGAATATTATCCACTAAGTGCAAGTGGTTAGGAGGAAAGACTTCTTATGGAAAAAGACCATAGGTTTGTACTGCTGGATTTTACAGAACACAGGAATTTTCTTTTCAAAACTCATGATAGAAAAATTATCTTTACATATTGCTTATATTGGCATACACATTATTTTCATTTATAATTGTAAAAAAAAATTAGTATCTATAGATTTGTATCTATACATCTCTGTGCTGCATATATATTAAAAAAAACCAAACAAACAGTGCTATATATATTTATGTGTTTGGTTTTTTTTCCTAGAAAATCAGGTCATTTATGAGTCAAGTAGGTTTTCTTCTATAACGCACCTAGAGATTCCAAAATATCCTTTATGTCTGCTATCAGGCAATCTAACTTGTAATTTTCTTTGTGAGGAGGAGCATCTGTTTCTCCATAACCTCTCAAATCCAGGGCCACCACTCGATATTCACTTTTAAATTCCCGCAATTGATGGCGCCAAGAATACCTAACAAAAGGGAAAAAAAGTTGGAGTTACAAGGTCAAGCAGTATGATACCAAAAATGCACTCAATGCTTTTGCACCCAAATATTTGAGGGTAAACTTGCATGGCTTTGTTTGCTATGAGATTCTTTTTCTTTTCTGTGCTGTGCTGATGGTTCTTTGTGGCTGCAGTAGTTTTTGCTCATTTCTTGAATTCCCCAATAACAAAGTGCAGCTGCCAGAAAGGGGGCATGGCCAGAGCCAGGGTTTTTCAACAATTCCTGGAGTCTGGCATAGTCTCTTTGCTACAGAGGAAGCAGGCATAAACCAGAGCACATTGAAGTCTATTCTGTTTTATCCTTGGAGCCATAGTAGCATCAAAAAAGTAAGGTCTGAAAAGCTTTCCCTTCTTCATGGCAGCCATGTTTTGCATTTTTTCTTCTATTCAGAAAAATAATATCAGATAATTCATACACTAAATAAACCAAAGAAAGAAATCCAGTTAATACCAAATGATCTTGATGAAGTTTATAGAATTTATCCTGTGTACACTTTCATCTGTGTCTCTGTACCAGAACTGTTGCAGAGCAAGCTCTCTCAGTGTGTTGGTACTAGACAAAGTATTTCATCCTTGTATTTCCATGGAAAAGAGTGGTAACATTATATACATCAAAAGGCATACAAAGGCAAGAACTCAGGCCAAGGCCTGGGCTACTTCACACTCTGTATGTGGTGACTAGATGTGTTTTATGAAGGAAAAATAAAAACAAATGGTGGATCTTATCCTGCAAGAACTGCCTGCCCTTCAGCTGTTATTGAAACCAAATAAACTTCAGAATAGCCAGTACCAAGACAGACATGGCCTTATCTTACACTGTAATAGAAAGATATATGAAAAACATGATCCTTCTGGACATACATAACAATGACTACATCCCCCTGTGCCAGCATCTAGCTTTTACTTCTGCTTGTTTCAACTGTTTCGCATAAAGGATATATAACGTTTGGATCATCGGTGGTTGTAAGAGTGATGCACAGAATTCCACCTTAATCCAAACAGTGTCTGTATCAGACCATGGGCTCTTCCACTTTACCTTTGCCTCCAGCCTATTAGGGACTCTAAACTTAAATAATGTTACAGGAACATTGAGTGATACAAATCTGTATTCATATAAACAAAACAGTCAGAACATTTTCATTTCAGTGCTATCTAATGCTAAGACAAGGTTTAGCTGAGATCCCCAGGAATGAATTTTTTAAAGGCATTATATAATGACTTGGAAGCTGAATTTGCCATGGTAACTGTTGCAGCTATTCTATATACTTCAGTAAGAAGAAAGAAACAGGCCCATAAATAAATAAATCTACTATTTTTGTTTTCAGAAAATGTCTACAAGCTATTCTCATCCTCTGTTTTCACAACAGTCCATCATCTTCAAATGTCTGACCTATCAAATGGGTAGGTTTTATATTCAAAGAAACCCTTTCATCCCATAGGATATATAACTACTGGACAACTGTTTTGCAAGCAGAATTTGGAAATGTGAATGCCTCTATGTTCATAAGGTTGAAGCTATTTTGAGACTTTCTGATCACATTCTTTCTAAAAGGCAAGTAGTATAAAATGTAGCAGCTCACACACTTTGAAGTACTCAGCTGCCTCAACACATTATGTACAATTTCAAGTATTTTATTACTGACCTTCCACAATGTATTGATTTTCAAGTTCTTATGCATCTAAACCACTCATAGGCTCTGGTGCATTACATTCTTTAGTGATCTGTCACCTTCAGACATTCTCTATCACCCTTAGTGGTCAGTATTGTCTGGTTATATTTGTCCTATTTATAACCTTGAGACATTTGAAGGCAGAGGATTTGTTAAAATTAAGAAGTGTAATTGTGGATAATATCCTTTCTGTTTTCCTAGACAAAGAATATAAATTTGATGCTGATTTACATCTCTCTTAAACTGTGGTTAATTTATCTTGTGCTCTCAGAACAATCACTATTCTTGAATGAAAAAGTATTCACTGAGTGAACAACCTAACAGAAATATTGGTAATATGACTGGTTTACAGACTATTAGCATGTAGTGTTCTTTTTAAAAACAGTGATAGAACCTATGCTATTGGTGGTCCCAGTGACCTACATAGCAGGTTTTTTATTCATCCCTTTTGAATGGTCAGACAATACAATCTAGTAGCTGCCACTTAGAGCACGACTCACTATTCTAAACTGTAAGAATGACTTTCTGCCTTTTAAAAATAATATATCTGATCTAAGTAGAATATGTATATAAAATGCTAATTTCTCCATTACTATTCCCCATAGGGAAAATCAGCTGTAGTCTCATTGCCTGTGTTAGAATATGCTTTATGCAAGATATGCATAATGTTTTTATAGAATATGCTCTGGCCCATCTAACTGTCCTTTCAATCAAAGTTTACAGCTTTAATAATTTTAGATAGAAATTTATTACTAGAACAATGTCCTTCTTTGAAAATTTAACATTATGTGACTCTGTCCCATCACCCTCAAGGGCATTATTACCTAGGAGAAATTGCTGAGGGAAGAGAACTGACCTCTCTTCTGCTCAGGTCAGTTTATGGTATGACCTGAGTACAGATTGAAAGATTACAGTTCCAGCAATGGTCTGTAGCCCCTCAGCTGAGTTCAGAAAGGAAAAGGATCATTTACCTTGCTGAATTACTGGAATTAGTACTTCCCTTATTCCCTTACTGCTTTTTCCATGCAAGTTCTGTAAGCCATGCTTCACTAGTTAAATCTGACAATGACAGCCTGAGCAATTTGGTTAAATCATTGAACACATGACTGCTTTTCATTGTTATAAACAAACATTTAGGATTGGGTTTGATTCATCATTCATCTTGTGATGAACTAATAATAGAACTTTTTTCCCTGAGTAGCATTCTGAAATTAGGCTGCACAATAGCCTATAGAACTCATAGTTCTTCCCCTCCTCCAGTTAAAAATTAATGTATAGTATTTTTAATAAATGGAGCAATCTAGATTGCACTTAACATATAATGGATCCTTATTTTAACACTCTCTGCTATAATTCATAAGTTTAGCCATATAGTACAAATACTATCCAAACAGGAAATTTGTTTAAAATTAGCAGTTCCTTCACAAAGTTTGCAGGAAAGGGTACATACCTGAGGAAAAATGTACAAAAGAAGAAGAGTACAAAAAAGATAGTTGGTTTGTGTTAGACTGAAGGAATTTTTTTGCAGATGCTGCAGTTAAAATTATGTTTCAATGGTTCATTTCCTACTGAAAATTCATGCCATTAGTATTCATAAACACATATAAATGATCACACTGGGGCTATTTAAGAGATGTTTGTCCTTGAGTATCTTATGCAGCCTCTTTTATAATAGAAAAAGCTGAAGGAAGTTTTACCAGAATTCTGGGAAGCCATGAAGCAGCAACATGAGCGGTTTGCCCCTTTCTCCAGCAGCCACATAGTGGAATCGTAACCCTGAATCCTAAAATAAGAGGAAAATAAGTGTGTTTATTGCTGCATAGAACTGCTATTTTGGGATTTGAGAATGATGATGGTTTCAGACCATATTCTAAGAGACAATATAATGCACCTAAAAAGAAAACAAATTATCAGTTTTGAAGCTGAAGCCTTCTGTACTTCTGAGATCAGGTATCTGCTACACCCTGGCAATTCTGTGTATCCCACACCCTACACACCCACCACAGCTTCTTCCAGGAAGGACCATCTCCAATACCTGCCAGGCTGTGTGCCTGTGTGCCAGCTCAGCTCTGAGCACACATCCTGACAGAGACTGCCTGGCACAGCCACTGGGAAATGCAGGTAATTGTCACAGCAAGCACATTCCCACAGACACCAGTTGTGCTTTACAGAAAGACTTTAAAATGCAGTATACTTTAAATGCACTTCCAATCTTTCAGTAAGATTATGCAACTATTTAAAACCATCACATTGCATTCTGGCATGATAAAGGACCACGAGGATTCTTAACAACCAAAAGCAATCAAAATTAAGTAACTAGAAAGCAGGACATTTTTGCTAGGTTTTATCATTCTTTATATGAAGTGAGGTTTAAACCTCACTTCAGGAAATTAAGCTTTAATGTTATAATCTTCTTTCTGCCTTGTTAATGGTTAGTTTCTGATGCATCTTTTAAGAAAATGGGTCTTACGAGAATTACAAGCAGGCAACTTACTTATTGTAGAAACTGAGCACTGAAGTGCTATTGAAGTGAATGGATGTACACAGGCTTATGCTGACTGAAGGTCAAATCCAGTAGAATTTAAATAAACTGTGATTATGACCTAGAGGTTTTTACTGAATTCTGACACAGAAGTGAATACAGAAGTTGGGAGTTAGCTCACAAGGTACTGTTTAGAAGTCATGTGAAAGAAACTGCAGGAAGAAGGGTTGTCCAGCTCATGAACAAATCTCAAAGCCTGCGCTGTCTCTGCTGTTTCAAAAAAGAAAGAAAAGCTCCATGCCTTTGCTGTGCATCCAGAGCTAATATCAGGGCAAGGATCACAAATGCATACAAAAAAGGTTTTCTTGCCAAAGATGCTTCAAATGCTCTGACATGTCTTGACACTCATAAGTCACTAAGGAGCTGCAAAACCATTAACTTATATTCTCATTCTTGAAAGGGCTCTGAAGAGGGAACTATTTGGATTTTTTTATACTTACTCTGGATATAATAGGGACCTTTTCTCAGTTTTGCCCCTAATTACACTGATATTTCACCTCTGGGATGCCAATGAACTTGAAGTCCCTAGAGGTAAAAGTAAATTCCTAGTAAATTTTGGGGCCATTACATCATCTGTATTATTCTCCAGATCACTCTGCCTTTGATCCTTTCATATTTAAAAAAGTAGAAGTTTCTCAGTCTCCTTCCACAGTTTCTCATTTAGTGATTAATGGATAAGCCCTCCTCCATGCTGCTTCTTTCAGTTAGTGTCCTCTTGGGATTTACCCTCCATGTTTTTTTTTAATCTCTTTGTTGCTTTTAAGGAACTGCCCTTTTCTCCTGAAAATTCTATCCCCACTTGTTCAGCAGCAGTTTAAATATCACATGGCCCAAACTAAGCCCATCCTTGACTTTTCAATTGCTGCTGTTCCCTTTTTTCTGCCCCCCAGAACAGACATAGGATGTTGCCAGCTTTTCCAGCACTGACTATTTTATTGAAATCTGAATGGATTTATAGGATATATGTGTTTGGAAAGTAATCCATTAGCCTGCTGATATCTAACAGCAAGAGCTTCTTATTTCCTGAAATGAGTGATCAACTGTCATATTGACAGCAAGTCGATTTGCCTCCAAATGCTCTTCTATTACTGTCATACCCCTCTCACTTCCCCAGCAGCCTGTTCATTTACTGCTTTGTGCTACAGGCAGAAAAGAACATGTCATATGAGTGAAAAAGCCCACACATGCCTCCTAATGATGTTAGCAAAAGAAAACAAGCAAATCATGACAAACTGAGGCTCACTAATTTATAATAGTACTGCCTGGCACAAAACCATCGGCACAGAGCCCTGGGAACAGAGATCTTTGTGTTTATTTTATGAAAAATAGCGCTTGACAAAACTTACTGTGCATTCTCTGCTCACCTACAATTGTAAAAGAAACATAGCTAATACAACCTCATTTACAGCATTCGGTAAAGGAGCAAATCACAGGTAGAGACCTGAGACAAGTACAGAAATTGACGGGGGGCTTAAACTGTACAACATGAGGGACAGCAATTAGCTTCTTGCTCTACGATCTCCCTGTGACAGCGATGCACGAAACGAGCTCCCGGTGCAACCGGGCAAACCGTAAAGAGCAGAGAGAGCAGAGGCGGTGCAGGGAGCGGAGAGCTGCGGCAAACCCGGGGCCGGCGAACCCCTCACCGCCCAGCCAGGGCTCCGCACCCGGG